GACTCTCATTTAATTAAGCACTGAACACAGTCCTTTAGATAACAAACGTTTGTTGAATTAATGACTTGTCTAGTAAGTCTTTCCTCACCCTCTCCCAGTCAGACCTGGGATTAACACCAGCCTCCCTTACTCATGAGCTATGTAACCTTGGGCAAGTTAATTAACTTCTCTAAGGACAAACTCAGCCTCCTCATCAGCAAAAGGGGAATCAATATAGCTCACCCAGTTTGTCATTTTTAGTAGAGACAAGGTCTCTCTTGCTCAGGCTGGTCTGGAACTCCTAAGCTCAGGCAATCCACCCGCCTCGGCCTCCCAGAGTCCTGGGATTACAGGCGGGAGCCACTGCACCCGGCCTGGCTCACACAGTTTTGAGTTAAAACGACAATGTTGTAGGAAGGCCTCGCCATCAAGTAGTAGATCCCAATTAGTACAAGCTCCCTTCCCACTTCTCACTTTTCACTCCACTCTCTAATCTAAAAGCTCCCCAAATGACACATTCCAGCACGAGAGAATAAAACAAGTAACACTCCTCTATGAGCTCACTGTGTACTTCCCAGCAGTAAGGGTGGTGGTGATCTTTGCTCCCAAGATATCCTACCAGAGGGCCACAAAGCGGAACAACAGAATGCATCCAAAGAATATAAAATTTTTAACTGTCAAACATCACCAGAGCAACTGAGGAACTACTTTGCTTTTTCTGGGAAATTACTGAAGTCAATAGAGCTTATCTGAGAACATTTCGTCAAGGGAGCAACTTTAAGTGAGTCAAACTTCAGTTTGGAAGCAAAGGAAATTCTTTGTAAGTCTTAGAAGAGAGAACAACAGTTACTCTCTGTAGCTCTAAACAACCCAGTAAGATTATTTAAGACTATTTATACATCTCAGAGATATAAAAGTTGATAGGATATGTAGGAATGGCTTAGAACCTGGAGGTGGAATTCTGGCTCAGTTACACGCTGACTGTGTTGCTGCAGGCAAGCCATTTCTCTACAAGCAGGTCTTTGATGCTTTCATCTCTTGAAAGCTAAGCCTAAACAAGAACATTTTATTTGGGAAGAACCCCTTGTTCACAGATTTGCTCAGTAAACTACTAATGGAAATACTGAGCTATAGACCACTTTTGATAGCTACAGACCAATTTAGAGTTGAGGTGATAGTAGGTGGTCTCTTCAGCTTCCCTCCAATTCTGTGCCTTTCAAGGCAACCTTATATACAGCTTAGAGATTAAGAGGAATGGCCTGAATCAGATCTGCTGTTGACTATATGGCCACTGTAAGGTTTTCCACCTTCTTTCAGCCTCCATGTCATTACCTATAAATTGGTAATAATAAATTCCTCACAGGGAAATCGTGGGCATTAGATAAGGTAGAATCCTAAGTTTTGAGAATTAGTTCAGGTAGACTATAAAAAAATAGTTTTAGAAACTTAAAATGAATTATTGAGACACAGGAATCAGATGTAACTTATGATTCTGGATTACATCCATCAGTGCAATAGCTGTTGAAATTCAAATAAGAATTACAGGTCAGACGACAATATGCGTCAAAGCTAGTTTTCTGAGTTTGATAATTGCACTGTGGTTATTTAGGAGAATATCTTTGTGCTTCCAGAATAACTATTGCCATATATAAAGACTCTCAAATGGTATTAAAAAATTACATAACATATATTGTGTATATGGAGAAAGAGAGAGAGAATGCTAACATTTGTTCAAGCTGAGTGACATGTATGTGAAAAATTATGCTTGCAACATTTCAAAAGACTGCAATCATTTTGGTACAGAATATTAGGTATTATATACAGAATGGTTTTTTTTTTTTTGGCTGGAGCCGGGTTTGAACCCACCTCCTCTCCGGTATATGGGGCCAGCGCCCTATTCCTTTGAGCCAGAGGCACCGCCCTATATATATTTTTATATGTTTATAAATATGTAATTGTACATGGACTGGATCATAATTATAGTCTAAATAGCTGAATTTGTTATACATATATATATGTACATGTCTATGTAATCCAACTCTTTGAAACTACTTAATTTTGACCCACCTATGTTTTTATTTGATTTAAAACTTCCCTGTTCAAATTATTTGCTAGACCCTTGTGTAAAGGGGATCTAGACACTTAGAACTGGCATTCGGATGAAACAAAATAAAAAGTAATCTGTTGACCCTGAAAACAGGACCATGGTTCTGTCTGTATTCCTGTATCCACCAAAGGAGCTGACACAGAGTAGGATTCAGAGTTTGGTCAAAGTATGATTAAATGTGTAAATACCTATAAACATTTCATCCCTATTGCTGGGAAGTGAATTCACCCCACACTCCAAGCATTCTAGACCACCATTATCAAGCCTGGCCAAATCCCATCACATCTTGTACAGCACACCTCATTAACTTGGAAAACCCCCCACCAAATCATTTCTACTCAGGGCATTTGGCTTTGCAATCACCCTTAGATGACTTCCAGATGACTCCTGGACAAACGGCTACACTGTTTATGAAATATTACAATAGTCATGGCAGCATCATTTTGAATGTCAACATCAACTACATTGCTTTTGAAAGAAAAAAAGCAAAGGTTTTTTTTTTTTTTAACCATGTTTATATTAACATGGAGAATTCCCTAAATGTTGATAGTACTACCAAAGTATTAAAAGACTATGTTGAAGTGCTCTTTAAAAACAATACTCAGCTCTCCTAACTGAATTGATACTTGAAATCCCACACACCATTTGGAGGAGGTATACTGACTTGATTTGATGGGCTTCATTACTGTGACAGCAGAATATGGAGGGAACGTGACCTAGCACTGAAATTCAATTTGGTTCCAATTAAAAATCCTGGTTGACAGAATTCATGAGGTTGACAGATGCTTGGTCATTTGAGATTTTCAGAAATCTAAAACGTGAACTTCACAAAGCAGATTAACAAGGTCTGACTCGACTTCTAGTCTTCAGTACAGAATCCCTCATAGTATAACTGGCAATCACAGGCACCAGCAAATGTAGGGTATAGAGAATGGCCTTCTACAGAACAAGGGTGAGACAGACGCACCACACATCCCACAGTGGTTAGACAACGGTGGAACAACCACTTATTAATGTCCATTCACTGCATAATTACTTCTGTAAGAGAAATTCACCCTAAAGTCTAAAACTGTATGTGATATAAAATGGAAGACGTAAAGAATCTTAAGGTTTGACGGGTGCAGGGGAGGGGGGTACAGGTAGAAGCTTCAAATGCACCCCTTCCTAATTCTACTTAAAATACTAATACAAAATAACCATATCAAAATACTTGACAGTCACTACAGGAAAAAAACAAAAAAAACATAGGAGGCTGGCTCGGCACCTGTGGCTCAAGCAGCTAAGGCGCCAGCCACATACATCTAAGGTGGCGGGTTCAAGTCCAGCCAGGGCCTGCCAAACAACAATGACAGCTGCAACCAAAAAATAGCCAGGGTTTGTAGTGGGCGCCTGTGGTCCCAACTACTTGGGAGGCTGAGGCAGGAGACTCGCTTGAGCCCAGGAGTTAGAGGTTGTTGTGAGCTGTGATGCCACATCACTCTACCCAGGGGGGCAGCTTGAGGCTCTGTCTCAAAAAAAAAAAAAAAAAAAAAACCATAGGAGGCAGAAATAAAATAAAATACACACTTAATCCTTTTGCCCAAAGATAACATTTGGCATATATTCTACTGCTCTTTTTTTTCTTCTTATGCTCTTTTAGAATAATAAACACTAGCTAGCATTTATAAAATACTTGGTTTCAGGCACTGTCCTACACATATATTAATCCATTCTTTCTTCACTAGAATATTATGACAGAGGAATTATTATCACCTATACTTTACAGGCAAAGAAACTTGAGCAGAGAGAGGTTAAGCAATTTGACCCAGATCACAAACTCATAAGTGGCAAATAATCTCTGTTCAATGTTTGCTATGCGAACATTATATGGGAAGAAACATTTCTCCTTAACTTTTTTAAGCTCTTAACTGCTGTTTCAATACCGTGTCAGGAATCTGTATATCTTATTTGACTCCGGCTCCTCATTCTAGGGGAGGGGCTGAGCTAAGACAGGAGACATTCGTTGACTTGGATCCAGTAATCAACAGCTGGGCTGTATAGCACACTCTGTAATATGAATTTAGATTCCCTCGGGGCCGTATCTCTTTGATGTTCTTAATATCAATCTGTCACTTTCCTACCTCTACATATTACATAATCCATTAGCCTGGCTTTTAAAAGCCTATATTAACTTGATTGAAGTCTAATTTTATTTTTTCACTGGCATTCTTAAAATATACTATACAGTTCCCAATTTCTTTAAAATCCAAAAGTGCCTGTTTTGATTATGGACTTCAAAAAAAAATGTGGAGAACACAATGAAATAGAGGTTAAAACAAGCAGAAGAGAATATTTCCCCAATGTACACTGTTAAATTGGAAATGTGAGCTGCAAGGGACTAAGCTTAGGGCAAAAGGTATTCTTAGAGATCTGGCCAATTTCACCTCATTCCCAAGGTCATCTGCAGATGTCGGGAGGACTTACCACTCACATTTTCTGCAGGCTCACTACTAATGTCTGTTGCCATCAGGACCCTGAAACACCTTGTGTTATTTTTTATACTTCTGCTACCCGTACAGCAACTCCTTGGCAACAATCGTAATTACACAGTAGCCTTGTTATCTCATGATAACACTGTAATTAGCTTGTATCACTGCAACATTCATGATCATAATAGTAACAGCAAGAAAAGTCCTATGGAAGGCGCGATTTTTAGTTCCAGCTTACAAAAATATCTTTAGCAACTAAAAATATATTAAGTTTAGTTAAAATATCAAGCTTTAAAATATCAAGACATGATCTCCTGCACAAAAGCTCACTGAAACTAAGCAATCTCAGTGTCCCCTAATGAAACTGATTATCTCTATAGCATAGGATTCCAAAGAGAATGGAGGAAAAAACACATACACACGTATTTTCTCAAAGTAATACTTACAGCTCTTCTAGAAAAGGAAAGTTCTTAAATACATCTTCTGGTAACTGAGTAATGTTGTTCATACTGATATCCCTGGAAAACATAAAAAAAAAGTGGTTAAATACATGATATTTGCCTCAAAGCACTTTATCTAAGAGAAAACAAATTAGGCTCTAAAATTTTGTAGATAAGCAAGGAAAATGAATCCAGAAGACAGGCAGAAAAACTCATAAACTGGCTTCAGAATGCAATGAATGCTTACAAAATACAAAACAAATAATTTTTTTTTATAAATTACATCCCATAATTCAGCAATGTACTCAGCTCCTGGGTTTTCCCCTTTTAAGTGTCCTTGGAAAGAACGCTTCCAACTTCTCCTCCTGGGTCAACATGGCTTCCCAGTAATCAGAACAAACAAATGAACACCCTAGATTTTGATAAACAGATTCTTCAGGTGAGGGCAGTTTCTGGAGTCACTGTCAAGGACAATGCAAGCGTGTCCTAGGCTCTACTCTAGTCGTATTTTATTCAAAACCTTTCCAAGTCCTCCAGGTAATCAGTGTAAGTGCATTTCAGTTTTGGCTTACCAGCAGATGTAAGCTGGAGGCAAGCAGACACACGACAAGCTGTCCCTTTCCCGTTTCCCCTCTGAGTGTCAGCAGAAAGCAGAGAACTCACTCAGCGATACAACTCAACAATTAGTGAATTCAGACGGCTAAAAGAGTATTTTATTAACCATTTCCCTCTTTCCTGGCAGCTGCCCTTTGAATTGGCTTTCTCTCCCACACCCCACACCTGATATCAACACCGTGAAAGACAGGTTAAGACAGCCCCACCAGGGAAAGTCCCAGCAGGAGCTGGGTCAGCTCAGGTGCCCCCAGCAGGTTCGAGGGTTAATTCTGTGGCTGAGCCCTTGAGTCTCTCCTCTCTAGAAACACCACAAAGGTTCCTGCGTGCGATATTCCCACGAGGAGATTAAACAGAATGGTCTGAAGAGGGAAGAGTTAACAGTAATGCTGGGTTATTTTCAACTCAGTCAGGTAAAGATTTCTTTTAAAGGAAGTGATACCTTCAGTTCTGTGGTCGGTAAGTCCCCTCTCCTCATCTTTCTTCCTCTCACTAAAATGCAGAAATGAAATCCACATCCCTTCTTTCTAGTCCCTGCCAAGGTCTGAAAACTGGCTCGGGAACAACAGTGATGGCAGCAGCTGCTAAAATACAGCGAATGCTCATAACACGACAAGACCTCGTGTGAGATCTCATGTTACAAATGGGGAAACTGAGACTAACGGAGGTGAAATGCATTCTTCAAGACCATTCAACAAGTGGTGTGAAACAGGAAATGTGATGTCCAGAGCCCAGGATCTCTACGCAAACTATGAGCCTTGCTAAGTATTACTTGAATCTTGTTACTTTTCTCCAATAGTGGTCAAGACGTAAGGCAAACCCTTAAATCCTACCAACCTGAAAAAGTGAGAGGAATAATGCTCTCAATACCTTGCCATAATCGTCATCAGACCCCTAGAAGAGCCATTTTGCTTGACAATTGGAAGGGGGAAAAAAGAACGATAACTAGCTCTAGTAATTGAACCAAAGTTCATATAAATAAATGTCTTAGTGCAAAAAACTTCACTTTAGATGATACTTAAGACCTTACAGATTTATGTGCATTCCAAAATGTTATAGCATCAAAAACAACTCAAATCTTACCAAGAATAACTCATAAGAAAAACAAAATTAATATGTTTCTCTAGGAATTTGGGGTTTTGGTTGTTTTTTTCTTTCTTTTTTTTTTTTTTTTTTTTGAGATGGGGGTCTTGCTATGTTGCCCAGGCTGGTCTTCAATTCTTAGGCTTAAGGGATCTTCTTGCATCTCATCCTTCTGAGTAGCTAGAAATATAGAAGCATGCCACTACACCCAGCAGGAATTATTCTTTGGAATGTAGGTCCCAGTATCACATTTCTCTGTGATCAATATCCCACAGGAAATGTAGCAAGATACTGGAGAAATAGCACCAAAACAGAGGTCAATAGAAGCAGGCTCATGCCTGTAATCCCAGCACTCTGGGAGGCCGAGGGGTGGACTGCTTGAACTCACAGGTTCAAGACCAGCCTGAGTCAGAGTGACACCCTGGCTCAAAAACTAGCCAAGTGCTGTGGTGGGCACCTGTAGTTCCAGGTACTCGGGAGGCTGAAGCTAGAGAATTGCTTGAGCCTAAGAGTTTGAGGTTGCTGTGAGCCATGACACCACGGCACTCTACCAAGGGTAACTCTGTCTCAAAAAAATAAAATAAAATAAAATATTCTAAAAAACAAAAAAGAATAAGAAGAAGCAGCAGGCTCAACTCCTGTACTGCCACAGACACCGTTATGATTCTGGGTGTCTGGTTGCTCATCAGGAAGCTGGAGGAGCTGAGCTGACCGGCTGAGTGGCTTCCTGGCCCGACATGGTATGCTGTCATTACATACTGATTCAACTTTTTCTGTAGATTTTTCATGGAGGTCCTCACCCTTCCTGATGAAAACAGATGAGATTCATTTTATGGAATGTTTCTAAACAATGAGCACAGCACAAAATTTAAAGACTGTTAGTTTGCCATTATAAAACTACCGAGTCAAAACAAAGCAAAACAAAAGCAAAACCCCACTATTGAGTCATTCTTTCCAGAAACACATTTGGTCTCAACCAATAAAATCATTCTTCACTGGGCTTGGTGCATGTACCTCAGTGGTCAGGGCGCTGGCCACATACACTAGGGCTGGCGGGTTTGAACCCTGTCAGGGCCTGCTAAACAACAATGACAACTACAATAAAAAAAATAGTGGGGGACTGTGGTGGGTGCCTGTAGTCCCAGCTACTTGGGAGTCTGAGGCAAGAGAATCGCTTAAGCCCAAGAGTTTGAGGTTGTTATGAGCTGTGATACCACAGCACTCTACCAAGGGGGACATAGTGCGACTTGTCTCCAAAAAAAAAAAAAATCATTCTTCAGAATACAACACAACTTTAAATCACAACTGAAAGGCAAAATAATTATCTGATATGAGTAAACAACGATTCTGTAAAATATCACCCAATTTGGGTGTGTTTGAGTCATTCTAACAAAAGGAAAAAGAAAAACAGTAAGGCACTGCTTTACAAAATGAGGCATTCCAGACTGTTTCCTCTAAGCTTGGCACACTTGAATTCAGGTGAGGATCACAGTTAACAGAAAAAACTGATTAACTGCCTCCCCCAGGGTGGGAGGGGAACACATAATTAGAAACAATTTACACCGCACTATTCACTGCATTCCAACTTTTTAGCACATACACACAATTCTTTTCCATCAGAATAACAAGATATGACAGGTAGTTAGTTTTGCTATGAGCTACAACTGCAATTAGTGGGACTCTTTATTTACAACTAACGTACGTTAAACACATGATGAGGTCCGTTTCAAAGCTTCAGATTCAGAAGCAACAGGTTTCCAAGTTTTTCTGAATTTCATACACCCAGAGAGGTGCTCTCTTTTGAGGTATTTCTCTAATACTTTCTGAGCTTTGGTTATAAAACATTTATGAATGAAGCGAAAAAGGAGTTGGGGGGCGGGGATGGTAAGCTACAAGATGTTATCTCCAGAGCAGCTCTGCAAACATGTGGTTACAGAGTATAAGGTGGGTGGATACTCATTTAAAATAATGAGGGCTAATGGGGAAAAACAACCTCCGGACAGCCTTGAGAGCAGATTCTAGACCTGACATCACCAACACCTGCAAGAGAATCTGAAGCACAGAGATTATATAAATAAAGAGATTAGAAAGAATACCAGGAGTTAAACAGCAGTAATTCACAAACGGAAGCCCTCTGACAATAATTACAAATACATGAGGCTCATGGGTCTTGTAAATTATTAAAAGACATAAGTAAAAAATACTTGATTAAAGAATTTTCAGCTAGACAATGCTCCTACAAATCAGTACCTTCAAATTTACACAATCAATGCAATCTCCCTAGTGGTATCAGTAATCCTGGCGATGCACCAACCTGGGTTCCTACCAACAAACTAAATGTAACACAGAAAACAAACAAAAATCATGCAAGGTCAGAGCACCATCAAATCACAAAGAGCTTTGAAGGACAATTTCGAGAGAGCTGATGGCCTCACTCAGGGCCAGCTTTGCACAGTTGGAAGTTCAGGGTTTGAAGCCAGACAGTCCAAGGTGAATTCTATCTCTGATTCAGGACCCCTAGCTGTGTGACCTTCCATAAACTGCTCATCTTTTCTGAGCCCTGGCTGCTTGGTTTGGAAAACGTGTTGGCAGTGAATCACTGAACCTTGTACTCTGCTGTGAAGATCAGAAAACTTCAATTCACATACAATAAGCTCCACAAGTAACAGTTACAATCTCTTATGGTCATTCATCCCTGGTTTTGCCGCTCCCGGAGGCCATTTGAATGGAAAGGATTGACAGCTGACCAAGAGGCGCTGATGCCTACACCGCACTGCCTTTATCGGCCTTCCCAGAAAAAACCCCCTTTACAGAAGAGAAACGCCAAATGCTGCAGAATAAAGACCTAGGAGCCTCGTTCCTAAATATAAAACTAAACTTCAGAATTTAAAGAGCCCAAGTTTTTAAGCTGGAAGAACCTTTCATAATCAAATACGTCATCAACAACCAACCAACCACAAAACCCCGCAGAAATATGAAAGCACATTTACTTCACTAGAAAAATAAACTTGAATGCCCAAAGACCAATTGTCACAGATTTTAAAATTCAAAGTGTTCAACTGGTTAACTGAAACTGCCAAATCTCCCCAGCAGTTAAACTCTCATCCTTTTTTCCTTATAAAATTCACTCACGTTACAGTATCTACAGAGTAAAAAAAGAACATCATGTTTCAACAAGGGAACTTTTAAAATCCCTATAAAATGGTCTCTAAGCCAGCCTAACCTGTTTGCTGATGGCCAAGGCTGCACTTCTATGGACCCTGCTGTGGCATACTCACTGGGCTTGGGCCATCTGCCACAGAATTATTTAATTTTAAATATACTGTGATTGACCCGGTGTTATCTAAATTTGAACAAGCCCTCCTATTTGGATTAGATAAAAC